GGACCAAGCATAAGTAAGGTGGCATTTTGAAGTTAGCAAAACTTTTAGTAAACAGATCATATCATATGTCATTCTCACATATGCAGACAGTGATACTATGTGTTAGTATCGAGATTGAGAGTTTGTGTCTCCCAAAGTACAACGTACCTATAGATATTCTTTATCCAAAAGGTAGCAGGAAAAAAAAAACAACACATGAAGTTGTTTTCATAGTTCCTTTTTAAAACTTCAAACTTGTTGAAGATAAACACAGAAAGTCAGTGTTTGAACCCTAAAGTGAGCTGTTGTGGTTTATTACTTTGTATTATAACATTAAAAACAGTAAACAACTGAAAACAAAACATCATAGGTTTAAACATCAAGGGATGTTTTTTAAATTCTGATTTTTAAATTTCTATTCCCAAATATAATTCCTGTGTTAACTTATTGAGAAACAATTTTATTGGAACTTAGGATTTTTTTTCCCCAAGTGAACTCCATCTATCGTGGGGACTGGTAAACCTCTAAAGGATCAAAGCTCTAGTGGATTTGGATAAAGACCCAAAAGCCTGAAAGGCTTATGCAAGTTTATCTATATAGAGTAAGCCCAAAAAACTGGGATGAGAGTCTTAGAAGAGCTTATTTTCTCATGAGATTTTTGGGACTTCCTCTGTCTGGTTGTGCCAGAAATACTGTGAGAATATCCATTCTCATGGCATTTGTCACTTACAGGTCTTGTCCCAGCTGGAATTTGAAAGTATAATGGTGTGTGAAGTATTTTATGTATCTTAAGGCATCATAAAGTCCACTACTGAAATTGCAGTTAAATAACCTCTGCTCTTTTCGTTCTTCTCAAACAGTAAAGAAAAAACAGAAAAGTATAGTAGAGAAGGGTTAATGAAAGTAACACCTAGTGACACTCTTTATAGATCTCAGTAATTTTTTATTTTATTATTTCTCTTATATATATTCCCAAGAGGTGGAGCAAAGAAAAAGAATAGGGAGAGATCGAATACAGGTCCAAAACAGATACTACAGGTTTCCTCCTGCTGAACCTCATTATACTTAGAGCTTAAAGTTTAATGAAGAATTCTGGCTCAGAAATTTAGGCTTGATACAACCATAAGGAAATGTGTGGAGATCTCTTAAATTATCAATTCTAACCTCCTAGCTTAATCGACATGAGACTAAGCAGAATAGTGAAAGCCATGAACTACAGTCATCTGGTTATCTTCTGAAGTAGTATGAGTCCCCTCCAGAAGTTTTTCTGTAGATCATAGGGCTATATTTTTCTATACCTCCTGTATGTAGGAAAAAATTTATTTCCTTCATTCAGCAAACATTTATTGAACTCTTCATGATTAATAAGACATTGCTTGCAGGTGTCTAAGCATTTCAGAGAGTCTCCAATATTGTGGGGGTAAATCTGGAGGTTTGTTAGATTCTAGCTGAATTTTCAAGGGAAATCCATGACAGAATAAATAGTGAAAAATCATTTATAACCAAAGATTTTAACAGAATAATATGAAAGATACTTTTATTTTATATAGAATGATCCTTTGATCATTAAACTATTTTGTTTTTGATTTGTTGTTTTTTAATGTGTATTATTTACATGTAGATTATTATGTGTCAGCTACTGAGATTTCTTGTTTAAGCTAGCTCCCTCATTTTGCTAACTCCTGAAGTCATCTTTCATCCTTTATTTTCTATTAGAAAAGCAAGATAAGAAGAAATTACTTGATGCTCAAAATTTGTATACATTTTCTCCCTGTGTAAATTGTCCTTTAAAACAACAATGAATGCGACTCCTTCCTCTTTGTTCTTTGGACACTTTTCAGATATCTTTATTAGCATGTTTTTCTCCCATTTTTCATTTTTTGTTAATTTGTATTTCTGCATCATTATATTAAGATAGTCTTTGAGAGTCCCTTGAGCTTATTCATCCAGGATTTAGAGCAGGGCCTGCTACTAATAAGTCTCTAAAAGTCTGAAGTGAAAGAATGAATATTGAATAAAACCTTTGGGTGATGCAGTATATCATCTTGTTAATGTCTTCTTTTCAGTCCCAGGCCCTAAATCTTTTTTCTTTATCCATTTCCTTGATATATCCTATCAGCAGGCCCTTTGCTTATTATCCCTTACAATCTAACTTTTCCATCTTGCTACTGAAACTATCCTATTGAAGACTACCAGAGTTTGTAGCTTTTTCTCTGAATTTATCTTCCTGAACCTTGACCTTACTGACCATTTCATTAATATATATTCATTCTTTCATTAAAGCTATGTTTATAAATTGCTAGCCATATCTAATAATATATAATATATATACTTCTCTTATTAATATAAACATGAACATAAAATGTACACAACTTACTTTACTTTCTTAGATGTGCTGGGCTTCAGATGGAGATTATATCATTAACACAACAGCAGGCTGAGAAGGATAGGTCTGAAGTACTTTGTATGCTGTTCTGATGATGTCCTTTATACTGGTGAGACAGTGAAACATTTGAAGCCATGACTAGTTTAACCACACATTTGGAACTTCTCAGTGAATCACTTCATTTTCCTAGACCACTCTAATTATCTATAAAGTTCAGTGACTGACTTCAACATCTGTACTGTCCCCTTGCTGAACAACTTAAGTTCCTATCCTTCTGGCTCAATTAAAAGGTTCTTCTAAAGCTGAATTAATTTTATCTTCCCAATGCTTTCCCTTATCCATCCTCACTAGAGATTCCTCACTACTGCTCACACAATGGCATCCCTATATACCTCTCTCTGTTCATGTTATCCTTCATGCCTAGAATATTCATATCCCATTTCTTCCATGAGCCCTTTCCAAATAAAATTGTTCCCATATCTACTTATCTTTAGTTCTAGACAATTAGCACTGAATTATTCCTGTTTTGTGCATGTTGGATTATGAGCTTCATATTGTGTTATCTTAGGCTAAGGCACTCCACAGTTATTTCTTTACTGGTTGTGAAATGTGTATGGTGTATACAATTTTTGAATTTCACTAGCTTGTGACGTACTTAATGTTGCAATCTGATTTCACATTCTAATTAATATTAGCATAGTTGTCTTGTGGTGAATCTTACAACTATTTACATCTATATAGGCCTCAAGAGTATGATAATAAATTACTTTGACTTAACTATAAAACAGTTTTTCTGTTATTATTCCATAAATATAATATTATAATAGGATTTTCCTCTTCATATTTTCTACAAGGTTCTATGTTGTATGAGTGTAATATTCTCTAATTTATTGAACAGCATAAAGCATCTTGTACATATTGTAAATGCTGTCTTTTGTGATGCCTGAGTTAGGTGTATATTGCTTCTATTAACTTTAAGGTATATTCTAAATTGGAAAATGTTGGGGGGAGTAGAACGATAAATATTTATTTTGTTTGCATGAATTTCTTATCTTCTTATTTTGCAAAAGAAACATTTGTCAAAGTTTAACTTGATAATTCCATAGAGTAATGTAAAAAGATCGATTTGTGTCCAAGGAAGAAGTAGCATTTGGTTAAGCTATTATCCTAATTCTTAGGTCACTGTCATCTTGTTAAGATATTTTACAAAAGGGACTTTGACTTTTTACTCCCTCTGAAACTACCATTAGATACTGTTTGGTAGTTCTCCCTCTATCTTGGATCCATGCTATTTTAAAAAATGAATGTCTTTCATGATGTTTTTTAGAAATAAAATGTTAAGACTTTTGGGGGGTATTCTTTCGCTGTCCATATGAAGTTGTTGCCTTAATTCAGATTAGTAAAAAAGAAAAATTCCTGTGTGTGTGTACGTTTCTCTACAAATCTATGAATTAATAAGACTTACTGGAAAACTGCAATAGTTAAGAAAACATGGTATTGGTGAAAGGATAGACACATAGATCAATGGAACTCATAGATCCATTCAGAAATAGACATATATTGTCAATTGATATTTTACAAAGGTGGAAAGGCTATTAACAGCGAAAGGATAATCTTTTTAACAAATGATGATGGAACAATTAGACATCTATATTTAAAACAATGAGCCTCAAACCTCACTATAAATACAAAAATTAACTAAAAATAATTCATAGTTTGCTTTTGCCCTGTCTATACAACATAGTGCTGAAGGTTAGCTAGAGCAATTAGGAAATGGAAGAAAGGAAGGAAGGAAAGGAGGGAAACCTGGAGGGAAGGAGGAAGGGAGAAAGGAAGGAAGGAGAGAGAGAGGGAAGGAAGGAAAGAGAGAGAAATAAGAAATAGAAGGCATCAGATTCGAAAGGAAGAAGTAAAAAAAAATCCCTTTTTTGAGGGAACATGTATGTACAAAATCCTAAGGGACCCACAAAAAATTATTAGAGCTAAGAAATGAGTTTGGGAAAGTTGTATCAATGTACAGTATTATTTGTATTTCTATATATTAGCAATGACCAATCTGAAAAGTTAAGAAAATTGCATTTACAAGTTGCATGAAAAAGAATAAAACAATTAGTAATAAATTAACCAAAGAAGTATAAAACTTGTACCCCGAAAACTACAAAACAACATTGAAAGAAATTACAGAATACCTAAGTATATGGAAAGGCATCCCAAGTTCTTGGATTGGAAGACTTAATATTGTTATGATGACAGTGCTCCCTAAATTGACCTCCAGATTCAACATAATACCAGTCAAAAGCCCTGTTCCATTTTTTTACAGAAATTGACAAGGTGTAGGTGATAATAGCAAATTTTGTTGGAAGTAATGACCTAAGAAGGGCAACAAACTATATTAACTGTCTTTAGAAAGATAAAGAATTCACCCTCTGGTCCCAAAGACTGAAATCTGTCTATAATCAAGTCACACTTGGTGTTACCAGAATACTTTGATATTTTCTCATCCATATAAATATAATTCTCTTGGCATTGATTCTGCCTTCAGTGCCTTTCTTAAATGATTACTGGAGTCAGTGAAAACTCTATCTGAGATAGAAGGCTTCCCTCATTGATGCTTTTCTTATTTTTCTCTTTATAGGGAAACTGAATAGCCAAGACTCCTACAACAATTTTACCAACAACAACCCTGGCAACCCTCGACTTTCTCCTCTCCCCAGCTTGATGGTAGTCACGCCTCTTGCACAAATCAAGCAGCCAATGACATTGGGGACCATCACCAAACGAACAGGGTAAGGCCTCAGGCTTGATGCTTTTTAACAGCTGTTATAGAGCGTTGAATGAGTGAAAATAAAACATACTTTTTCTTTGTGTGGTTTTGATTATGTTCTTCATTTCCAGCCCATATGAGACTTAATGGCATCAGATTAAGTACAAAGTACAGAACTTGCACAAACATACACGCACACAACCATGTACACACACATTCATAGAAAAAACAAAGCAGTGACAAGTTGTGAAACTAGTATTGGCTAATAAAAAACAGATTCATCTACTCAGTCCTATACTTGCTGCCTCGTGGCTTTGCCTGAAAGTAGTTTCATTTTCTTAACTCTTGCAAAGATGATGAGGATTTAAAATGACTCCTAAATTTTGACAGACACAAATACTAAGGAGAGAACTTTAGATGACAGCCGTGTTTCTAATGTTTTAAAAAAATAATCTATATATGGTTATAATTTACATATAATGATCTGTCATTAGTGTCAGGACAATTTTATGTTGTAGGTGGTTTTCAAAAACCAGAGTACTAAGATTTGAGCTTTATTCAAAATTGGTCATTAGCATCCTTAAAGACTTGATGACTCACTTGATTTGTTTGTGTTTATTTTAGCTATTTAAATTTTTTCTACCTGTTAAGAATATAAAATTATCACTAAATTGGGCTCTTGAAAGTAAACTGCTATGTCTGTGATATCATTAAGATATTCAGTTATATAATAACACTGAAAATCCATTTTGTGTCAGAAAAATATATGTCTATAGGCAAATTACTTGTTTTCCTCAATGAGCAATCCTGATGTTTAAGCTAATTTGAAATGGAACAACTGTCTTAAAATTCTATATTAAAGTACTCAGGAGAAAATTCTCTCTTGACCTCAACTAGTCTTCAGGGCCTTTCCAACAAAACATATAGATTGAATTATTTGGCTACTCTGTCAATATATTTTAATATTGTGCTCAGTGTTAATGTGTATATAAAAGTAACTTTTGTCAGAAAAAATACTCTGTTCTCAAGGATAAGTCCTTTATGTTCTGGGTTATTATCATAACACAGAAGTTGGCTCTCCACCCACATGAGTGGTGTTTGTATATAACGTGATTCTATTGCTATGTAAAGAAATAAAATTGAGTTTGTGGCATTTTAAGGGGAAAAAAGAAAAAATAGAGCAAACCTATATCCCAAATCAGACATTTTAAGGTAGTGATCATTTGGGCTATATTACATTCTTTGCATGTAGAATCAAATAAAAATGAGACTAAATCAAGAATCATAATTTCAAAGTTTGTTTTTCACTTACTAAAGTCAGTACATAATTGTATTTTTTTGTTCACCTCAGCATTGTACAATACTACAAAGTACTTAAAAATTTTTGCCTGTCTTTTCTGAATCTAAGTGAAACCATCCTCAAAATCGTTTTCTGTAATTTAATTTTATATTCAGAGTGAGGGGAGTATAAGAGGAAAGTTCAAAAGGTTCCTGGAGACATGAAAGCATATTCTGGTGCTTTGTTTCTGGTGTGTGTATTTGTTTTTTAATTTAAGAGCTACAATGTTTTATGATGGAAAGATTAGCTCTATTTTTCTAATAAGCTTCTCCAAATATATCTCTGTGATAGTGACTGAATTTTTATGCATATAATGAAATAATGTTAGAATTTAATTCAAAATATTTGTGTGGAGGGCAGGTGGGAAATGGGTTTACTTTTGTATATAGTATTTGAAATTTTCCATAGAAAGAAAAAAGTCTCTCTGTCTCCTCACGGTCTCTTGCTACCCTCTTTCTCACTACACTAGAATGAATAGAAACTGTTAATCATCAGGTGTCCTCCTGTGCTACCATACTTTATGAACTTAGATAAATTCTTTGTTTCTTTTTCTTTTTATAAATTTTCTCACAATTCTCAGATTTTTGGAGCATGTTTTACTGTGGACAAAATAATTATTAATGAACTGTTATGAGTTTGATTTATTTTATGTGCTTTGAAACTAATGTTAGTGTAAGATGCTTGTATCGTTGACTAGGCTTTTTATCTCTATTTTGAAGCCATTTTATTTCTGCCACGTTTTTGAATTCTTTTCAGCATGCCCAGTATTGAAGTTTTTAGACAGAATAATTCATACTTGCCTCACAATGAGTGCTTGGTTTTAATTTTTTGTGACGTAATTTCAGACTTACAAAAACATTGCAAGACTAGCAAAAAGAATTCCTGTATACCCCAATTTCCCAAATGTTAATAGTTTAACTTGTTTGCTGTAGTATTCAGTCTTTCACTCTGTCTGTATATACAATAATGCATTATCTTTTTCCTAAATGTTTCAGAATAAGTTGCAGACTTAATATCTCCTTATTCCTACATATTTTAGTGTGTAATTTGTAAAGGCAAGGACAGTCTCTTACATAAACACAGTACAATTATCAAGAGATCTTGCAATGTATTTTATTAGTTGCTTTTTTATTTCATATAATTATTGCATGAAATTTATTTTCTACTTGTGGCAGAGATTTAGTGCACTACAAATTACCCAACCTACTATTCTTTTTTACGTCCCTCTGTACTATTCTTTTTATCCCTTCCTATTAGTATAAAGTACGGTGACTGATACAGATGTTGATGATAGTGGTCATAACTTACATTTGACCATAGCTGGATTGTAAGATTTAATACCCTTTAAGCCACTCTCTGAAGAGTTTGTTGGTTATACTCAGAAACTGCTGTTGTCAGTTTCATTATCATTTTTTTGCTATAGGTCACCCTAAACATTTGTTCATAGAGTTTTCAGAATATAATTGTGGTTTTATTATCTTAAAATTTAACCTTTTATTAAAATACATGTATTTTGCATTGTCAAAAGAATATTCGATTTGTGAGAACAAAACATATTCTCTGAATTTCCATTTTTGCCAAATCTGAGTTTTAAAGCAAATTCCAGATAATAGGTCATCTCATTAGATTTCATTCTATTAGATTTTAAAGGCTATGTTTATTTATTTCATTAATTTTTTTTTTTTACTGTGGCCAGTTCTCAAGACTACAGTTAGCTAATTTACATTAATTATTTCCATGAAATTTTATTGTATTTACTGAGAAATTTGATTGCTACATTAATATCACCAGGGTGATGAGCAAGTGGGGTTCTCATTTTCCATGTCTGTCTTCATTCTGGAAATTCACATTTACTCAAACTTTGCTTTTATGAAACTCCTTTCCTAGTGTTATTTGACATGGATTATGTAGAACGAATAGATCTGACTGCATTTATAGACCTGTAAATTCTATGATAACTTCCAACATACCTGACAATATAGTTAGAAAAATTGTATACTTACTTAGGTAAAATCAGTTTTCATTTGTCCCATGTCCTAGGTATTTTGCATATAGTCATAAAATAACCATAAAAAGTTAAATTTCTAGAGCAGGGATGTCTCAGGATTTCCTAGGATCCAATATTTAAATCTCCAAATTGAGATAGAAGCATCAACTTAAACCTTAAGGGGACAAAACGTGTGTTTACCATATTTAACATCTGCCCTCTTATTTTTTTAAATACATATCCCTGAAAGCCTGTGCAGTGTCAGGGACCATCTGTCTCACTCCAAGACATACATGAGGCCAGTAGACCTACAAATGGCAAAAGACAGATGTATTTACACCTTCTTGTTAGTACCTTGAAGCAGCGCTTGGAGGAAATAAGGCCTGTTTTGGCAACAGCTGCTGCTTAATTAACTCTATGATGGTATACATTGATGGAGGTAAAAGAAGTGCTAGAAATTATTTGGCTTCAACAATCAACCATTCAAACAGAATCCATTTTCTTCCAGTCTAAGACTGTAGGATTAGAAAGCCCACTGTACTTAGTGATCATGTTTTCATCATATATAAATAAGAATAATTCTCCTCATCCATGAAAAGTGCAAGTGGGTGGTTAGGGATTGCTCCATGTCTTGGATGTTAGGTTTTTATAGTAGGGATTTATTAGCAGCATTTCATAGATTTAATTATTGAATTTATGAATCAAGGGAGGACTGATCAAATTTTTAAAAATGCTTTCTATATAAGAATTTACAAACAAAAATGTTCACCAGTGTGCTTAATTTTATCTGCTTTAAATCTGAAATTATTATACATACTCATTTTGTGGGCATAAGCAAAGAAGAATAAGTTTCAGAAAGAAACAGTAGTTTCATGGGAACAAAAAATATAAAAATTGAGAATGAAGTTACTGCTTTGCTCTTACCCAGGTGACCATTTTTTGTGAAGTAAACATAAAGGGATTTGCTCTTTCATAGGTTTCTATTTTCTTAAATGGAAGTAGCTTTCCATTCCTTTCCTCTCTTCCCATTGTTATTCATTTGTTTTTAAGGAGTTAGTGGTTGAGGTATTAGGAACTTTGAGCCTACTCCTTAGCAGGTTAGGTAACATACTGGCGAAATACTGAATTAGAAGTTTGAGGCCCTGGTTTCTCATCTAGGTTCTGCCTCCTATTTACCAGTGTGTCCTTGGTAAGTTTCTTCATCTGAAAAGAAAAATTTATATATATGGATTATAATCTTTTAGCCTTCTCATGTATGAGTTTCTACTAGTTCTCTGGTCCCATTACCTCATTTCTAAACCTCACTGTTTGGGCAGCCCTAGGCCAGTGCTAGTGAGCAGAAGCCACATTTAGAAAACATGGATGATTTTAAATAATACTAAATTGAAACATTTAATAACATTTACCTGAGCATCTTTAGTTTATATTTGTAGACCAAATCTGCCATCACACCTTGCTATGTGAGTAAATGACATTGGTATATAATAGGCCTTAAAGGAGGTGTGTTCCTTATTTTAATTCAATTAGGTCCACCTTCTCTCATTTAGATAATTTGGCCTGGAGCCATAAACCTTATAGGCAAAGTTCTGAGACTAAAATAGGAAAGATTTTGGAGAAAGACCCCCCCAAATACAATATCACATGGTAATTCTCCACCTCTCATCTCTGTCTTAGGTAACTAGTAGTTTGTTCATAGCTAAGCTATGGATGCTTGATTCCACATGTAAAATAATGGACATTGTATTTTCATTAGAATATATATATGGATATGACTGCATGTGCAATATGTTTACCATAGTTTGAGTTTCCAGTTTTTATGCTGAATAAATGGAGTACTTAAACTACACCATAGTTTATTGCATTTTGCCATATATCTGGGAGTTTTTTTTCTGGATGAGGTCTGTATATCAGCAGGCATAAATTTCTACAGAAGTTTGACATTTTGATATGCTAGTCTCTTTTCTGCCACGTATGGCAGAATTTGAACATTATCTATTATTTCATAATGAAAATCTTTTATTTTATTTTTATTTTTTTGCCCTGGGTCTTGCCTTAAAATGAAAATCTTTTAAATCTTGAGTTTATAATATGAATATACATGTCATATATATCTAAAATTAGCCTATTGTCTGTTTCAGCTTCAGTTTGCCCTATAGATCATAAGTTTGAGAACCAGCAGTATGACAGGTCTCTTTGGAATGGAGCAATTAAAATTAAATTAATGAAAAATTCAGAATAGAACTTGAAAATTACATTGGGAATAATTTTCTCATATGCGTGCAAGAAATGTGAGTTTACTTCAGTTGTTCCTTTAACAGAGAGAACACAGAATTTAGAAGTCATTAGAGTCCCTAGAATTTATTTTTAGAAAAATACAGCTCTACTTCAATATTTTACACATAATGTTGTATAGTTTTTTTCTCTACTTTATGTCTTATTCAGTACATTTAATATTTATATGGGCTCATTCTGATGTCTGTTATGTGGTAGTGCCTGAATTGTCACAGGATGTGATCAATTGAAAAATAGGATTTATAGAATATGTTTGTTAAATTTGTCTCTTAGACTCCACGTATTTGTTTAATTCTGAAGATGATTGAATAGAATCATAATACATTTTAGTACTTGAGTCAGATTAAAGAGGATTTGAGGATTTCAAATCAAATCTAGTTTTACTTTTTCCTTACATTAAAAACAATCTTCACATTTGCCTTGTTTTCAGCTAGTAAGACCAAAGACTTTGTGGTACTATGTGACATTCAACAAAATGGATCAGAGTTTAATGACTTACATAGCATTATGGTATGTTATAAAACATAATTCCTTCCTATCTTCTGAGTGTCTCCAGAAGAAACCCTTTGAGAACTAATGGCCAGGTTGTTTCGTAGAGGTCTATAAATAAATCTATAATGTTTTTGGACTTTTAGTCTCTTGACCAATTTTTCTTGAGGTTTTTCAATCAGAATTCAGCTCAAAATTGTTGACAAATTGAACAGGTTTTTGTGGCAGGATTGTTAAGCCTACTGAAACTTAATATTAATTAGAAAACAATTCTTCAGGTCTGAATATAGTAATTTGAGTTGCATGTGTTACTACAGACATTATTTAATTCAGCATACACTCCCACTCACATATCTCTTCCTTCTTCTTCACACTCCCATACCACTTCAATACAAAACTACAGCTGTGGACTTTTGGAAGGGGAGAGAAAAGTCATATATGAAGACAGCTGGATCATGGTTTTATACTTTGTGACTTTATATTTTCATTTTTTTTTTTTTGCTACTGAGAAAAGATGAAGCAGGCACATTTCAAAAGAACAGCTGACACTACCCATACAAAGTAATTACATCAGTCACTACAATTCTTTAGAGTTTGTGGATCTTCTTTCACATGTATATGGCAGAGGTCCAGTTTATAGGACTAGGCAAGAAGTGAGTGAGTACTGACTGGATACATGCTCAGTGTACATGCTAAACCTGTCTCTCATACTAAACCTTGAACTCACCTTGTCTCTTCAACCCTCTTCTTTCTCCTTGAGCTCTATTAGCCAAGGGATCCTTATTTGAATGAAGTAGGATAACTTTTAACCAATACAGGTGGGTTACATTGTGAATAGTGAGGCTTATTGTCTTTAAACTTGACAATGATGTTATTTGTTTAATACAAACCAGTTAACTACAGTGTCTGGAGTTTTATAGTACATTTTGGGATCATGGGGCAAGGAAGTGGCTGGAGGAATCTTGTTGGCAACATATTACTGCCTGGAAATGAAAATCTAGGAGATTTTAAAGTTTGTGTATCATTTGTTTGGCTAATGTAAGTTTGTTTGTTATATATAAGGAAACCTATGCCTGGGAAAAGGTATTTACTGGCTCAATAGGTGGGGAACATCAGGTGGTCTTTTGAATTTTTAGAAACTTGAAGGTTTTGTTTCATTATTGTTCGGTTAGTTTTTGGAGTCAATGGGGTCATAAAGGACTACATAAAGACTTCGAAATTCTCTATAATAAATCAATTTTATTCTGATATTTGGGATGAGATGGGAGACTGTCCATAGTAAGTACAATATACCTGAAGAGCAATGTAAGCCTTGAGTTCCAGATTGCAAGCACTTCTGTCAGAATCATTCAGACTGTTTGGTTATTTCAGGTGTCCTGTCTAATTAAGTAAAATTAAGAAAAGTTGGATATTGTATGGCAACAAAAACATATTTGTTTTAGAGGTATCTGTGGGTATGTAGAAATGGCTTGAACCTTTTGTTTTCTCATTTTGGAATGGGATCTTGATGCTATTCAGAGATTGGACTCTTCAGGTAGTCTCAGTTATTTAAATCTGTGTTTTTCAAAGTGTAGAATGAGCTCTAGTAACATTTTGTTTCTGAGGTAATTAGCTAGTCATGAAATCAGATAAGGAAAATTGTGACCAACATTTTTTAAAAATGAAATAGAATGGAATAAAATGCAATTTTGCTAGTGGTTCTTCAGACCAGCAGCATTGGCATTACCCAGGAGCTTGTTGGAAGTATAGAATCTCAGATTCCAGCCAGACCTACTGTGTTAGCATATGCATGTAACTGCATTGTAACATAATTCCAACATTAATGTTTACAAAACACCAAAATGGAAAATAGAAAAGTTTATTACAAATAAAAACCACATTTCATTAAATTGTTGTTTCAGTCTTGTTTGTGTATATTCATGTACATACCAGCTTGCACCCTAGAAGGTATTCCTCTCAGTCATAGTCAAAATGTTTAAAATCCACTCTTTTAAATGTGGATGATGACATCATATCCATGGTTGTGTTCTTATCATTAACTATATGAGAGAACTATCCTTGCTTTGCATTGACATTGTCTCTAAAGTTTTTCCCCCCTATATCTCACTTTTCCTTTACCTCACTTTCTTCCAGTTATTATCTTTTTTATATGTGTCACTTCCCTTCTTCATGTATTATGTGTTTCAAGCCTTAAAATTGTATCCAACTTTTAGGAAAATATTTTCCTTAAGTTTCAATTTGTGGTGAAATATATATAATTTACTGGGAAATTAATGCTAATCAGCAGGATTTTTTTTCAATGTTCCTAGAACCAAATTTCATGAAAGAAATACCTACATTTTCCATGTTTTACCAATGTACTTTCCTCCTCCATTTTTTTTTTAAAGAGACAGAGACAGGGTCTCACTCTGTTCCCCAAGCTAGAGTACAGTGGGCTGATCGTAGCTCATTGTAACCTAGAACTCCTGGAATCAAGGGATTCTCCCACTTCAGCCTTCTGAATAGCAGGGACTACAGGTGTACACCACAATTTTTTTCCTTAATGTAGAAACAAGGTCTGGTCTCGAACTCCTGGCCTCAAAGCCATTCTTCTGCTCTAGCTTTCCAAAGTGCTGGGATGTGTACAGGTGTGACCCACCACGCCTGCCTCCCCCCTCCTTTTGTATGTCTTCCAAATGTCAGATTCCATAGCACCATTTTGTTTTAGCTATATTTAAATCATTCAATCGTCTTTGTGTGCAAATATGCATAGCATATATTAAATGAATTTTAAGACAAAATATGTTTAACATTGAAGTCTCACTTTATGTCCCCAGTTGTATTTAAAACAAGCAATTGTTGCTTTAATTTACTGTATGTCAGCCTAGCCTGGTTCAGGCCAGGTAGTGGAAGCCGCAGTTAACCTCTTGTATTGCTATTAAGAGACATGGTGATTTTCTGGAATTTGACCAAAAATAAAGAAAAATCATAATACTACTTATACTTTGTGTTTATTCCTTTGACCAATAATACGCAGTTCAACTTACTATGAATAAATAGCTTGAAAAATATGTGCCTTCTTTCTGTGGCTCTGAGACTGCAACCAGTGAACAGCAAATAATGTGTCAAATTTTTCATTTAGCCTTCCTTAGCTAATTTCAGACATTTCCTGTCATACAACCACATATTGGTTGCTATTGATCTCATTCTTCTCCATTGGATTATTCCTTTTAACTTGTACTTTTTAAAAAAGGGCCTCAGCAGTGAATTTTATTTTATTTTAACTTAGAAATACTATAGGGGTGCTCCAGAAAAGGGGGAGAATAGAAAATTTTATAATCCCTAACTCTGTGAAAATTAAGGGCCTTGTTATTACACATTATTCTGTGTATTGGTTATATCAGACAGTATGTACAACAGAATTGCAAATGATTACTAATTTTTTAGTTATTCTTATCCATACTCTATAACAGTATGATATACATGTATTTGTTAATGTTAAATGAGTTTTTTTCTCTAATTTTTTGTGCATTTTCCCCCCTTTTCCATGAAGGCCTTATCTCTTTGGAGCGGGGTGTTTTTCCATAAAAGCTCCATGGTGAGTTCCAGTTCAGTCCCGCATGCCTAATTCATTTGCTGTACTCTCAAAAAGTAACTTTGTTTTGTAGTTTTGTTTTCAGTTGCATGGCCTGATCACAGATAGATGCACCAAATTACTGAATAATTTGTAGATGGAACATGAATGTTGATATTTAAGCTTTAAAAAAGCAGTTTTGTGGTTTTACTTCATTCCTTGAAAAGTAAAAAAGAAAAAAGAATGTTTAAAGAAAAGAAAATAGAGGAATTCTCTCATAATAGTTGCAGATATTACAAGAAAAGGCTAACACCCAAGATTAAAGATTTGAGTATTATAGTGATAGAAGTTCCCTATATATCATGCATAATGTTTGAAGACACAATTTATTTTGAAATATAAATATATTTAAGGTATAACAAAAATGCCCTATAAAGTTTTACTGCCTTTTATTTAGTCCTAAAGGGACAATAGTTACCTCTGTTTTGAATAGTTTAAGTATATAAGGAGCTACATAAGGATGACATTTCACATAAAACTCATAAATAATTTATTATTTTAAATTTTTAGAATTACTAACTTAATTAGTAAATTCTTTTTATAACAGTGCATAGAATACAGCATTGTCATTCTTAGGCACGATGATCATAGAAAAGAAATAGAGTATACTTAATACTTTCTTGTAAAGATGGGAAATAGAATGTATTAGGAATCTGGTATAAAATGTTTAATGATTAAGAGTTGGGGCTCTGGAATCATACTGCCTGGATCTTAAATTCCAACTCACACATTTACTAGCAATACGATCTTGGGGAAATTTTCTAAAACCTGTCTGATTCTTGTTTTCTTTATATATTAAAGACACCTACATTGTGAGTTCATTATGAGGGTTAAATGAATTGATATAAATATGTCTGTATTAGTATGTATCAGTGCCTGGCACATAGTAAATGACTAGTAAATGTTAGCTACTACTACTGTTTATTTTCCAGTTTCCGGGGAAAATACCATGTTTGAAAAGAAGCTTCTTTAAATCAGACCATGTTTTCTGCTTTTAAGAGTATGTTTAGCCAAAGGGAAGTTTTGAGAAATGTAAGGTATGTCAATTTTGTTGATTTAGTCAGAATACCTAAAAGAGTTCTGCTTCTGCACATATATATATAGTTTTCTTAACAACTACTGGGAATTGTTCATGGTGTTCTATTATACTAGAAAGAACAGCCCAATCTTTTTTCTCTTGGACAAAAAAAAGCTTAGATAGTTCTTTAAGACTGATTTTTATTTGACACAAACTAATTCAGTGTTCGCATGACACAGGAACATCTGAATATTTCATTATCATATAAGAATTGGTGACATAAAATTTTCCTTCTTAAAATGCAGTATTATAATTAGGACACAGTTTGCGAAACTATTCTAAACAAATTTAGGGTATACGTGAGAATAAATCCCATGAAAGTCAATCTTTATTCATTTTGTTAACCAGATTTCTTTTAAAAACAAATGAGATATGTGCCTCTTAAACTTAGGAGCTTCCATTGAGTAGTGAATTTTTAGGACATATTCAACATATGACAGTTTCTTTGTAGACTAAATTTAGAATTAAATTACATTTAACGATAAGTTCTTCACTGTAAGTACAAAGACAGGAGTTTTAGTATGTTAATAAACATTGAAGTTTTTGCATAGTCGTAAAGATGGAGTAACAACTGTTGTATGTTAAATAAGAAAAGTTCATTCCTCCAACAGCTTATGTGCTCCTCACATTTAAGCAAAAGCACTTGTCAACCAGAAATGATTTGAGGTTGAAACAAGATTAAAAGAGCCAGATTAAAGAAAGGGATATATGAAATATAGTAGACTTTTAAATCATTGCCTGTCTTTTAGGAGACTGCTTTGTGGTTTGTTTGATGCCATCGTTAGCTCACAAGAAACTCGTTTTTAGTCACTTATACTAGACTAAAAGGTCCTCCTTTAAAATGTTCCCTTACCAGTGGTGCATGTTTTTTCCATTAAGATCTTAATGAAACCTCAAATTAAGGCAGCAAAATGAATATAAATTTGACAACTTCTTCCATGTTTTCTAAGAGCTTCTTTGTTTGAAATAGTTTTTGCTATTTTTCCAAGATATTTAGCATTCAATTTTGAGAATATTTTTATTTACTATTCTGAAATAAAACATTATGCTAAATAAATGTGTTTATACTATTTCAAGTTGTAGGGTAATATATGTATTTGGGATGAAAATAAAATTTTTATAATTCCTCTTAAAAAGAAATGTAAATTTCTTACAAATTTTTTATTAGTTTCAAGTTGTAACACTGACCTTAATTAAGAGTTTGCTTTTGGTATATCACAATTTCTACTAATCCTTTATTCTTCATTAAACTGGTTTTGTTCTTTAAATTCATGCGCTTTCAGATGAGTCCGTTTTCAAATAGGGCTCTTCCCTTTGATAACAAAATAAGCTTGGTGAAAAGTAAATGAAGTAGGCCATCTTTGACATTTTAGTCATCTTAGACTTCCCTAGTAATATATATCCTCTAGGTTATCTTACCTAGGATATTTGAGTTTGAATGACTATATAAAATAATATAAAAGCATTACACACATAACATATGCTTTTAAACATAGGAATTTAAGAGAAATAATTCCAATGTGAGTTTTAAAAATTACATTTTCCTTTCAGTATTATACATAAATAAGAATTTATTTCATTCCTAATGTGCATGTAGTACTGTGTTTAAGGTACTGCTATCTTGAATTGCTTATCAAAAATATGCATAATTGATGGAAAATAGGTAGTCCATATGAATACATCCCTTACTTGTAGAAATGTCTTTTTATTATATAAGGTTAAATTTAAAGAAGAATTGAAATTTACATGTCAAATTATATTTAAAGTTTTAATTGGCATTCTCTACAAATATTTGATCAATATATAAATACTTCATGTAAACTAATTTTATTCTTGAGAATATTTTAAAATTCTATAATTTCCTTTTTTGAAAGATAAGATTTACATGGAGAGAATTTTTTCTTACATGTCATGTTTAGATAAATCTGTTAAACCTTTGAGAATAATTTGTGACAGAATAGAATAATTGTAGACAGATTATTAATATCTTTAGCTTTTTAAAATAAAATACTGTTAGTTTCCCTTCTTAAGTCTCATTTTAGAAAATAAAGTGGAGAGGGAGAGAAAACTTCTAAAAAATATACTTTTTTCTTCTTTAACAGAGAGCCGTTATACCACTTGTAAATTCTTCAGTCAATATTGTCTCTTACATTTAAACTCAAATATTGACTGTTCTCTTATATTTTAGAAAAGGAAATAAATGATGTTTCTACCTCATGTTAGCTTCTTCCATGCTTGTGTCCTTCTAAACAAGGCACTAGACCACATTTCTGCTTATCATGCCATCCACAGATACACCATATGTTATTATATCTCTCCTCTATGGTACATAGTAAAATTGTCTATAAATTTTTAGCAGATAATATTAGAGTTTTATATTTCTTTTTTTGTTTGCAATTGAGTGTGGCGAAAAAACAGGCAAAAGAAATTCAGTATGTTGATGTAACTGGATTACATATCATAATAAAGACCAATAGAAGAAAAATGGGGAACTTGAATAGACTTTGTAAATATTTTTGAGGGTCTTGTAATGTTGTTATTCCTACAACTTCTTCTGATGGCAATGAAAATGATTCTCATTCTATGGTTGGATGGTTAAACATTTCCTCAGAAGAAATGACAAAGAATGTAAACTCCTGATTTTTAAATTTAGGACCTTGTTTATTTTGGCTTTTTATTTGCTTGTAAATTTTGATTTTTTAAAAATAAATTATGTTCATTTGTATCAAGCTTAGTAAATATGAAGTTCTGTGATCATCATTTTACCTGATATGGTAAAAATTCCATTTATTTCATTTTTCTTTTATGTTTTGCTCAAAAGGTAAGCCAAATTAAAAAAAAATTTTCTTTTTTAATATGGAATTATTTATGAAAAGCTAAGTGGGTGTAAAGGAGCAAGGGTTATCAGTTGAAAGAAGTGCATTAGAACTCTCAGCATGTTTTATTCTCATATACTAAAAAACTGAAAAGTTGACATAATGCAATTAAACTTCTGGATACCAATATAAATTGAAATACTATTTTTATATCATTGTAAACTTAATAAATGAGTAAATGAGAGAAGGCATCCAAATAACCAGAGGAATTCTTTTTTTATTTTTAATTATTATGAGTATATAAAAGTTGTATACATTTATAGGGTACATGTGATGTTTTGATACAGGCATATGATGTATATTATTTAAATCAGGAGAATTGTGGTATCCATCACCTCAAGCATTTATCATTTCTTTGTGTTAGGAACATTCCAATTCCATGCACTCTTTTGTTATTTTAAAGTATACCATAACTTATTGTTGACTGTAGTAACTTTTTATGCTACAGAGGAATTCTTTTTGTGCTTGCAAATGTTCTGTAATGAGATTTTTAAAGGCCCCTTTCAGAGGAAAAAGGGACATAATTGAGATTAAGAAAGAAAAAATGGTTAGTATTGGAATGCTCTCCTTTATAAGGATTGCCTTACCAATCTGAAAATTTACCTGATTTACAAGGCTGGCACTTTTTTATTCCATTGACATAGGTATCATTTTCCAATGTTATATCTTTCTGTCATTAACAGGTTATTTTGTGATAGAAATACTCTGTATCCTTGTGGAAAAGTTCATAGATGGTATGTTGCTGAACACACATTAGAAGAAAAGCCATTTTGCTTCTACCAAGATTTCCTGGATTTGGTCTTTTTGAAATTTAGGATGAAGGGCAAATTGAGCCAAAGTCAAAATTTCTAACTTTCGATATATCACATAGAAAACATTTTATTAATAACATTCTTTTCATTAGAATATTTATCCTTTTTATTCCTCTGTGAGTCTTATATACACATATATGTATTTTTTTATGTTTCTGTTTTGTTTAAATATCACAGTCACTCCAGATGTAGATTGATGATAGGATTTACTTAATACGCATATGTTTACCCAATATGCTCTATGCCCAATACTATGTCATGTAGCAGGTAGCAAGTTATTTTCAGGATGAAAACTCTTTTGATTCCTTATTAAACAGAAACTTTTACTAATGGCATTTATTAAGGCCCTATCGGAGGAAAAAGAAGAAATGATGAACCATAATAATGAAATGATAAGTCTTTATATAAATTAAGTATACTTTTACCATCAAATACTTATTCTCTGTAGGAGATAATGAACTTGTGTAATATGACATTGTGGATGCCTTTTACTTGTGTGCTCAAAACTGAATTGTGTGTAACTTACAGTTTTGCAAGAGATTTTAGCTTTTGACATGGGCTGATTAGACTGTAAGCTAATAAAAATATAATATATTTTTGTATGTTTAAATACTAAACTGATGTTCTATAATTTTTATACTTATTATGTTAGAAAGCAGCTATTTTGGCCGGGCGCGGTGGCTCACGCCTGTAATCCTAGCACTCTGGGAGGCCGAGGTGGGCGGATTGCTCGAGGTCAGGAGTTCGAAACCAGCCTGAGCAAGAGTGAGACCCCGTCTTTACTTTAAATTAAAAAAGAAATTAATTGGCCAACTATTATATATAGAAAAAATTAGCCAGGCATGGTGGCGCATGCCTGTAGTCCCAGCTACTCGGGAGGCTGAGGCAGCAGGATCGCTGGAGCCCAGGAGTTTGAGGTTGCTGTTAGCTAGGCTGACGCCACGGCACTCTCTCTATCCTGGGCAACAAAGTGAGACTCTGTCTCAAAAAAAAAAAAAAGAAAGCAGGTATTTTGAAGCAACTGGAAGCAACTATTTTTAAGTCTGTTTAGGGTGCATACTTTAGAGGAACCATATTTTCTCTTAAGTGGCCTATTCACTTGTTACCACATGATTTAAAAACAAAAATCACATCCAGTAATTTACAAAGAGCTTTGAGTTTGTCCTTGTGAGGTTTATTGGTACATTGTAGTATCGTTGTTCCCTGATGGTGATTCTAGTAAAAGCATGTAGTTACACAATTGCAAACTGCTTTCAAAAAATCCTAGAATTGTTTTTTATCTCCTCCCCCTCACTACCAGCCTCTCAAAATCCCTAACGAGTTAAAAATGACCAATAGTACTTCAAAGATACCAGTTGTAGGAACTTGTCAGTTCAATGGTAGTAGTTCAGTGATGGAAATAATAGCTTTCTAAGGTAACACAACAGAAAGCATCATAACCTGAAAGAACAATTCTAATGCCAGTGACCCAGATATTAAGGAAAAGTGCATGTTTGTTCCAGTGTAGGGCAGAGGAAGAGTCTTGTTTTTTGGAGGTATGTTGTTGCAGTTGTGGCAGCTACAACTATGAAGAAGTGAAACTGTAGAACCAGATTCATTTCCTCATAGAAACTTTGCTTTTAAAAAAACTATGTCTTTATTCCTTGTCACTGCAAGTCTGACTGTGACTGGTACTGATATTTTAGGCATGGATGTTGTTTGTTTTGGGAACAAAGTGGAGTGTTTAAGAAGTGTTAATGATGGAAAGAAGAGGGTTTTTTTTCTTATATAGTAATGTGCATTCCCATGGTTTTTGTTCCAATGGGGTGACTGAAGGAAACAATCACAGTAGCCTCTGATGCAGACTTTTAGCTTTCCTTAGATGGAGGATTTGTTAAAAACAGAAGCCTCAGAACATTAGATATCTGAGAAACTTTTTCAAGTGTCAAAGGAACTGGGAAACTGAAGTTACCAAAGCAGAGTCTAATTTTTTGGAAATTAAGTGAGGGTTGTGGTGGCTATATAGAAGAGTTAACATTTGTTGAGTACTATAATATGACAAAGGACTGCTGTGAGAGTTTTACTTGCTTTGTCTAATACAGTGGTTCTCAAAGTTGAGCATACATCAGAACCTCCTAAAGAGTTTGTTAAAAAACACAGATTGTTGGGCTCCACTTCCAGAGTTTCTGATTTAGTAGGTCTGGGATGATACCTGGTTAGTATTTGCTTGCATTTCTACAAAGTGCCTTGCTGGTACTACTAGCTAGAGACTAGATTTTGAGAACAGATATAATCCTTAAAATAGCCCAATGACATAGAAATTACTGTATTTATATTTCATATATTAGTAGTCTGAACTCTGAGAGGTTAAATAACTTAACCAAAAATCTAATAGCTAATAAGTGACAGCATTGTGATTCAAATTCATATTTCTTTCTGATTTCAAAACTATTGCTTTCCATCCTACCATACTTTATTAAAAAATAAAGAGATAAAGGAAAGTGTGGGGAAAAGAAGGTAGAAATAATGTTGTTTGACATTGGAGATTGACTAGCAGAGGGGAACATGAGAGCTCTAGTTTTTATTGTATATCACCTGAGCTATGATCTTGACCAGTATACAGTGAGGCTATTTTCTGATCTATGAATTAGAGAAATTAATTTATCTAAAGTGGTTAGCAAAATTGCTAATGAGCTTTGGGAAACCCTTGATAAAAGAGAACAGAAATATAGGAATTGAAGGAACATGAAAGGTCAATTGTAGAAGTTGAGAGTATGAACATTTATTTGTAGACAACAAAGAGGAAAGGAAGTCCTTTTTAATTGTTGTTATATGAAGGAACAGCAGTTACTAAATAGGCCTTCATACATAACAGAAAAGATTTATACTTGAGAGGCTATTGATACTTGACTCTGCCTTGGTCTTTTTCCCTAAGCAAAAATAGACACATCATTTTTACAAATACAAGGGAGAAAAGAAACAACCAATAGGAAGATCAGTGAATATAATTGTAATAGATCATTAGATATTCTCCCCATACATTGTCTAATTCTCCATGGCTTTAAGGCTGAGAGCAGTTTCAAGGTTTCATTTTATATCATCTGATTGTCATACATGCTATCTTCATGTGTGTTGTTAATCCCTCTGTTTATCTATTAAAATGAAATGATAATCCATTTTACTATTGTGAGATGTTTATGCTGGTTCTATTGCTTCACTTTGAAATCTCCAGGAAAATGTTTTCCATCTGAAAAGAAGTGACTTGGATTTTGCCAGAACATACTTCCAAAAGGAGTTAGTTTTAATTGGTCTTATAAGCTGCTATCTTGACAGGACTTTGGAACTTAGAAATTTTACTTTTACTCCAGAGCATAGTCTCACATTACCAGTTATTACTTAAGGCAAAATGCATGTTCATATTGGAGGATTTGAATACGTTGGGGTGGAATTTAAAGGGAAATCTGTCATTAGAGGCCTGTCATTTCATTGTGATAATTTTTTTTACTGTCATTTTATTTTTTAAGCAAAGTTAAACCTCCTCCACAAATTTCACCCAGCAAATCAATGGGCGGAGAGTTTTGCGTGGCGGCTATTTTTGGGACATCCAGGTCATGGTTTGCAAATAATGCAGGTCTGAAAAGAGAAAAAGGTATGTATTTTTACTGATGTTCAAATTTTCCGTGTGTAACTTTTGATTCTTAAGGAAAATCGATAGCAGTTCTTCTAGAATAATCTTGTACCCAATAGTTCAGAAACCAATTTTTCCATTTAATTAGCATGTCTCTCCTCAACTACTGAAGCCTAGTAAAGAAGAAAAACCGTCCTCTCACTATAGATGTGAAATGAATTGTCCATTGAGTGTTTTTGTTTTGTTTTTTAGGGTAACAGTCTATAGATGATCTCAATACTGACAATTCCATACCCATTTTATAACTTTTATGTTTTTACAAGCTAATTTTACATCATTGTCTATGAAGTGGGGAGAGGGAAAGCCTTGTTATCCCTGTTTTAGAGATGAACTTGAGATCAGCAAATTTAAATATCTTAGCTAAAAGCACTAGTAAGTATGTGATCAATCAGAGTTTGAAACCAGATTTTCTAACGTTAAATCTTGACTTAAAAATAACCAAGAACTCTGCCATGTTTTTAAAACATGATGAAAAACAGCCTGCCACTGAGACATAAGATCAGCCCTGTGGTTACTATTGCTCCTTTGAATTGATATACAGTAGTCCGTCCTTATCCTTGGAGCATACGTTCCAACACCCCCAGTAGATGCCCGAAACCTTGGATAGTACTGAACCCTATACAGTACTATATTTTTTTTATCTTATAATTGAGACAGTTACTAAGTGACTGACGGACTGATAGCATATACAGTGTTGATACACTGGACAAAGGGATGATTCATGCCCCAGGCAGGACAGAATGGGACAGCATGAGATTTCATCATGCTACTCAGTGTACAATTTGAAGCTTTTGAGTTATTTGTAGAATTTTCTATTTAATATTTTCAGACCAAGATTGACCATAGGTAACTGAAACTGAATTGCATATAAGGGGGGATTACCGTAGTTATTTTTTAAATCCTTGCTTTGATCACCAGGATCAATATCTAAAATATTTCTGGGATTGATATTCTAGTATATGTTTCCTTATTGCCCTTGTATAGAGGAGAATGCCTGCATTAATAAACCAAGCATGTAATTTAGAATGTTAAGTTATGATTTTCTCATTATTTTAGTATTATTAAAGTAGGTCACAAACTGGGTTGTTACTGGGGCACTTCTCTGGTGAGTTCCACAGGCTGTATTGTTCTTGGCAAAATGGCTCTCCTTTATGCTTAGTACTGGCAGTCAGACATCCACCCTTTCCCTTGTTATCGCCTTTCAGTGACGCTTTCCTTGGTAATAGGATCTCAGGCACAGCAGGTCCCTTACCTAAGTGGGAGAGGATACTGTAAAGTATGCAAGGCTTCCATTTCCTTATCCCATCTTTATTTTTTTGTTACCTCCTTAGGTTTAATGATGCTATCAAAAGGACTTTTTGTTACTAGTTAAAACCTTCTGTGAAGCTCGATTTCAAATGCTTCTCCCTTCTGTTCTAATTACCCTTTTAACTTGCTACTCCTTTATGTCCCACTGGCTGGTCATTAGCCATTTTCTGAAATCAGCTGTAATTGATTCGTCTGACACAGAGATAAGATGACCCACCCAGCATTCATGAGTGATTTTATATGCTCCTAGGTTTACTGTAAAACCCAAGATAGAGGACTAAACCTGTTTTGGTAGTGAGTACATGTGTATTCCTTATAAAGTCAGTTGATTAGATCCATATTCAGCACCTGACTTCTCAAAGTACAGTTGATCTTCATTTACCACAGAGGGCCAGTGATCCTATTGAAAGAAAAGAAGTAAGAAGATTTAGGGGAGTGTGTGTGTGTGTGTGTGTGTGTGTGTGTGTGTGTGTGTGTGTGTGTGTGAAATACTTTTATTTTTTAGAGCAGTTTTAGATTCACAGCTAAATTGAGCAGAAGGTACAGAGATTTCCCATATACCTCCTGTCCCCCCAACCAGAGTGGTGTATTTGTTTCAACTGATGAACCTACGTAGAAACATGATGTGTTTTTTGTTTTTTTTTATTAATTTTGATCCAGAAATTTAAGTTTTAAGTTTCTGAGAGAAAGTTGATGGGACATTAGGCATGCAACTAGCCTTTCATGCAGTTCAGTTGGTATTTATTCTGTGTAACTAATACATTATTCCTTTTTGGTCAGTCTTTCCCTGTCTTACCTGATACTGTTAATTTTCATAATGTGGGACAAATTTCATGGCAGACAATTACAAAAGACTTTTTTACTATATTAAAATTTTGGCCATAGGTATGTCATTTTTGAAATAAATTGCTTGAGATTTAAAAATATTTAATAGCATAGAGATTTTCACATTCATTAGCATCTACTTATAAGAGGCAATCTTTAGGCAAAGAGCAACAAGCACAATATGAAAAAATTCCTGTCTTTTTATTTTCTCTGCTCAGCCTCAGGAGCAGATTAATAAGCAAATACTTGTAAAAATTATGCTGTGTTCCTTTTATGATATTATCACACAACCAGATTCTGTTTTTCTGTTTGTAGACCAATCCAAACAAGTTGTAGTTGAGTCCCTGTACATTATCAGTTGCTATGGGACCTTAGTGGAGCACATGATAGAGCCGCGGCCCCTCAGCACTGCCCCCAAGATTAGTGATGACACTCCACTGGAAATGATGACATCACCTCGAGCCAGCTGGACTCTGGTTAGGTAGTATCTCCTTTCTTTTTTTCTCTTTTTAAGAGCTTTATTGAGGTGTGAAAGATTAAAAGTGTACCATTTGATAAGTTTTTGACATTATGTGTACAGCTATGAAATCATTACCACAATTAACATAATAAACATATCCATCACTCCTAAATGTTTCTTTTTGCCCCTATGTAATCTCTCCTCCTTTTGTCCCTCTTTGTCTCTATGGATTAGTTTATAGGATTCTATATAAATGGAATCATATAGTATATACTTTTTTGGGGTCTGGCTTCTTTCATCTAGCAAAATGATAGTTTATTACTTTTTCATTTAACATATTTTACATATAATAAAATTAACTCATTGTAAGTGATTTTTCAAAAAGCTGCATACCCATCAGTATAATCAATTTCCTCATCCCAGAAAGAAACCCCATACCCATTTAGAAGTCACTCCCCATTTTCTCCAAACCCATCAGCCCTAGGCAACCACGAATTTACTTTCTGTCTCTGTGGATTTGCCTACTGTAATTATTTCATATAACTAGAAACATACAGTATTTGACTTTTTTGTGTCTGGCATCTTTCACTTAGCCTGTTTTCAAGGTCTATCCATGTTGCAGCATATATCAGAACTTCCTTCCCTTTTATGGCCATATAGTACTCCATTAGATGGTTTTACCACATACTGTTTGTCCATTTATTTGTGGATGGACAGTGCCACTTTGTAGCTAATATTAGTAATGTTACTATGAACATTCCTGTCAGATTTTTGTGTGGACATATGTTTTCAATTGTCTTGGGTATATCCCTTGGAGAATATCTCTGTTTGAATTCCTTTCTCTTTGTACCTTTGTGAACCTTTTCTTGGACATGTGCTTCCCCTATTTGCAGTTTCAGGCTCACTGAAAATAGAGAGTAGTGTTGAGACAGCCATTAAGGAAGGAGGGGAATAGAAACTAATATAAATGATATGAAGGTTTCCTTTGAAGTGATTCTCCAAGATACAATGGTTAAGCATCATAGAAATGTTTATTAAGAATCAGAGTCCATCTCAAAAGTGCATATTGATTAGACTCTTTATAAACTAGCACAAAGATGGAAAAATGAAACCTGGAATAAAACCTGCTTAATAAATAGTTCATTGTCTAGGAGAGAAAAAATTGCTCCTGACATATATCGAAGGAAACAGACAAAAATGGATATGAAAATGATCCCTGTCCTTTTGACATTTTAAAATATTCTTATATTGATTTTTGTAGGCTCCAGCATTCTTTACTACTTCTTTACTGTGCTGGATTGATCTGATTTATCAAGCTTATTTAGGAGTCGGCAGAGCTGATTAAAATTACTGCACTATCATTGTTGAAATAGTGACTGATTTTGAAACTCAGATGCTAATTTGATCCATAATAAGTCATCCATTTACACAACTGTTTTTTGAATTGTTTTTACCTGTCTTATTTTATTTTAAAAATACACATACTTTAAGAATAAAGAGTTTAGAAATTACATAAAATTAGGACTACTTAGTTGTAACATTTGAATTCTATACTTCCTCTCTGCTTAATCTTCTGAATTTCTTGTCTATCCTATTGGAGGGTCTTCTGCTGTCAAGCTACTGTTGACTTCATCTTATTTGTGTGAAACACTGTCTGCCACATTTTTGTTCTTTTTAAGCAGATGACCTTGTGTTTTAGGTTTCAGCATATTCATTTTAATGATTACAAGTTTATTTTAATGATTACAAAAATAGTGTGAATTTAAATCAGTGTTCATCAGTGATGACTGTCATAGTGATTTATTTCCCATCTATTAAGCTTAAATATTAATATTCTTCTGCTGTTTCCTTAGAACCCCTCAATGGAATGAATTGCAACCACCATTTAATGCAAACCACCCTCTGCTCCTCGCTGCAGATGCAGTACAGTATTATCAGTTCCTGCTTGCTGGCCGTAAGTAGTTCAGATTGTTTTTTTCCTTTCATATAGTCTATTCAGATTTCATCTTTAAATGCGGGCTTTTAAAGCAACCATTACCACTGGTCCATAGGCCATAGGCCTTAAACAATCAATCTGAGGCAAGTAAGATATTTAATAGAAATTTAAACCATAAGCCTTAGCACACATTAAGTATGTCTCTGGCTGCTTATATTCTGTACCCAGGAACATAAACCTGCGATGATAATAGTCAAGTTGATGGAGAATATCTGGGGGGCTCAAAAATTTAAAAACAACAATCAAAACAGCATAAGAATACTATTATATAATAAACAGTTTTATAAAGTTTGGCATCTATTTCTAACATAGAAAAAACCTTTGCACTTGAAGAAAAACCTGCTGGCATAGTTTTCAAAGTGGCACGTTTCCTTGTGAAAGCTATGCCAGCAGGTTTTTCTGTCTTTAGAATTTTACTTGAAATAATGAAGTAATGATTTCAGGTACATTGGTTTTTTTATTTGTTTGTTTACTTTCATGTCTGAACTCTGACATCAGTAGAGACTGACCTGGGTTCATGAAGCTAAATACAGCCTTTAATATGGGAGGCATGAAATGACAATTTAATATTTATTATCTAGTTTGTGTTCATAGAATTAAAAATTCTTTACAATTATAATTCAATTTTGTAGGATGGACCGAATCCTTAATTTAACTTGATGCCTCTGAGTACTGCATGTTTTTTAAGAAAATTCCTAAAAATCAACATTGACATGTTTTTAATAGAGTTTGCTGTATTCAACTTATTATCTTGCCTGGTATATTATAAAGCATGAATTAAAACTGTTGTAGAACTATTTTATTTTATTTTTATGATGTGTTATATATTATACTGTTATACTGGAAATTTTATAGACTTTGCTCTAAAGTTATGAAACTCCACAACTGTAATAAATAGTTGGCAGTCTTGCTCTCTCATTTAGTTGAACTTACTCCTTCTTCTAGTGCATTTTTATTGAGTGCCTACTATATGTCAGGCCGTTGTGATTTAAAGGTAAATAGTATATTGTTTCTGTCCTCAACTCACTAATTTTAAAGACAAATGTTTAATAAAAAATAAAATGGGATAAGTGTCCCAGTGGAGGGTTATACATCGAACTGTGAGAGCAGTGACATAAGTTGCCAAAGGCAACACAGAAGGGTAATACATAAGTGTTTTCAGATTGTTTCAAGAAGCAGAGAATGGAGAAATTGTTAGTTTCTACATTTTTAAGCATAATTTAACTATCTCATGAATTAGAAAAAACATGACAGGTATATGATACAAAATAAAAATCATGAGTATGTTTTCTGCTGCCTCTCAAAGGGACAAAAATAACTAATTATTGAATTAAGCATAGTTCACTCAGAGTTAATATTGGTTTTTGTTTTTTTATTTTCATATATATAGGTCTGTTTAGTAGACAAATGGTAAAAAATCTGAAATGTTTAAGAAAAAGATATGAGCTAAAAAGTACAACTGTCTCTCTTAATTTTTCTTGTCCCAATCATTAAGCTGATTGACATTACATGGTAGTTCATTGTAGCTACCCTAAATACATTCATCCAGTTCTTAGACCAATAAAAATCTCCAGGTATGTAGTTTAAGAATTACCACTGTTGGCAATAGTAAGCCATCAGATGTTTTCAGTCATAGGAATGACACCATCAGAATTGTGTTTTAGAAAGATCACTGTGGTAGCTTTGCAGCAGGAGGTTCAGAGGAAGGTAGTGGAGGTTAGGTGATCCTGGAGCAAAATGAGACCCTTAATTAAGGCTATATTACAGAGAAAAAACAGGACAGACTTGCGTAGTGTTCCAGACTTGGAATAGAATAGAATTAGAGGCAATTTGAAAAAAAGTACTCATTCATGATTCTGTGATTTCTAATTAAAATACAGAATACGGCGGGTCCTCAAATTACATCATTTCATTCAACGTTGTTTTGTTATAACATTGATAAGAAAAAGAAATGCTTCCTCCCAGGACCACTGCCTGTGTAGAGTGTGCATATTCTCCTCATGTCTGCTTGGGTTTTCTCTGGTTTTCTCCCACATACCAAAGATGTGCATGTTAGCTTAATTGGTCTGTCTAAATTGTGTCCCAGTCAGAGTAAGTGTGGATGTGTGTGTGAGTGCACCTTGCAATGGAATGGCATCCTGTGCAGAGCTGGGTCCCACATTGCTGCTGGGATAGGCTGTAGCCACATGGGACTCTGAATGAATGAATTCAAACTATTGTTAAAATAAGAATTCTTAAAATATGTGATAAATCATGCAAATATATGATAATCCTACATTGTCATCATTTATGCAGATAAATGATTCTGTATTAAAGTGCTCAGCAAGCCCTCCATATTATTATTTTTGAACTTTGTCGTGGTAGGAGGTGCTCCTGACAATTTTTAGTTTGCAAACATTTATTCTTTGATTTAACTCACCACCACCATGACCATCATCACTCACTAATCACCAAAAATTGGGTAAATAATTATATTGCTTTTCTTAATCTTTTAAAAATGTTTGTATAGCTTAGATTTAATTTAGTGTTTAACATTAGAAGTGTTTTGAGTTTTCATTTAGAAGTTTGGAGATGTTTTTGTGACCAGAAATACACCATAGGAACTTAAATTTTTTTTATATCAATTAGCCTGTGGTACAATTAGTTTCATTATGTGTCATTTTGCTCAATCACAATTTTCAATAACTTATTGTATAATGTATTTCATTGTAAGCCTATTAAATTCCAGATGAACTAGCACTGGGATAAAGATGAAAGTCCCAGATTTCAGTTCTAAACCATCTCTCAACTTGATAAATATAAAATATCAATTATAATATTTGCTCTGTAAGAGGTGTTATGATGATCAGTGAAGTGATGCTAAAGTCTTTTTAAAAACTATGAAACAAGATATACATTTATGCATCATTATATGCCTTTGTTTCTTATCTAAGAAGTTCATATCTTCAAATAATGGACTTCCAGGATTTTAATAAAATCTATAAAATGTTTTAGTATTAGGCACTAATAATGGAATACCTATTCTGACTATGTGATTTTGATCATGTTGTAAATATCCATTATCTAAGTGACAGAAAATAATTAATATGTTTTATCTTGTGAAATGTAGCTATAGATATAATTTGATGTAAAAATCTAAGAGACAGATAATTCTGTTTTAATTATTATGCTGCTGCTTTATATCCAGAATAGAAATACATATAGCCTAGATTTTAAAGTCATGTTTTCTACGTATAGACATAAGCTATTTGATTGAGAGTTCTGGACATGCCAGTATGTTACATGACTGAAGCAATTAAATATGCAAAACATGGACATTCGGGTCAGCACAGTAAAAGGTTGAGATATAATTAGTAAAAGCAATAATGGTGCCAGTTTCAAGAGATTGCCTTTACCTGCCCATCTGTTGCACCATTTCTGCACGTTAGAGCCTCATTACGAAGACTTTATTACTTTCTTTTTCTCCAGTTTTCCTTACTGAAGCCTTTGAAAAGATATTGTACCTCTTAAAACACAAGTATACCATACCTGGTGCCAGGCAGTTTTTGTATTACTTAACCATATTGAAAGTCTAACTCTTATTTTCAAATTAAAGACTTCAAATAAATGAAGACTTTAGAAATATCTTTCTGAAAATATTTTCAAATACAGTCATTTGTTGGTATGTGTAGGTATTGGTTCCAGGACCCCCACGAATACCAAAATCCATAGTTGCTTAGTCCCTTATGGTATATTATTTGCATAGGACCTAAGTACATCCTCCCATATACTTTGCTATGTCTATATTTCTTATAATACCTAATACAATGTAAATGCTATGTAAATAGTTGTTATACTGTATTGTTTAGAAATAATGACAAGAAAAAAAGTCTATACATGTTAAGTACAGGCACAATCATCCTTTTTTTTCCTGAAAATTTTCAGTCTGCGCTTGCTTGATTCCTTAGAGATGGAACCCATGAATACAGAAGATTGAGGTTTTAACTTTTTAGTAGAACTCTAATACAAACTTCACAAATATTGTGAGCATTTTCTTTTGTTGTATTTGGATCTGTGCATCAAGTGAAGCGGACTTTTACAAACTCCGGAAATTATAATAATAGTAGACAAAGAATGATGGAAATGGCAAAGAGACTTTGTCTCTGTGAGAAAAGAGTAGGAGAGCAGGATGTTTAGCAAGGAATCTCCACTCCCTTTCCATTTCTGTAACCATAATAAATACACTGCTAGTTGATAAACAAAGTTCTGCATATGTGGCAAAAGGATGGCTCGTTGCCACATGCTAAAGACTTCTTACCTAAGTTAACCTTAATGTAAAGGAAGTAAAATTCTGTATTCTTAACTATAGTAACATTTCCTACTTATATTAATGGGCTGGAATAACCAAACTTCAGAATTTTGAAATTTATTGAAGAATTTTGCTATATCATAAATTGATATATCAAACTGAGGAATCTTGGTGTATCATAAATTAGATCATACTAGAATGCTTCATACAGAGGTCACTATAGAAGCAGAGATGATTTTTTTTGTTATTGGGTAGAACCATAAGAAATTACCATTTTTAATAAGTAAAAAACTCTAAGCAATTTCATAGATTAATTTATATATGCAAACTGAATGTATAGATGGTAGTCTAGTCTTGATGCTTAGCTCAGTAAAGGTAAAACTCAAGAATCTATAATCCAAAAGATGTTTTGCTTTGGTCATAAAAATTTAGGGACTAGTTTATAAAAAGATCACATCAGAAGACATTAGTAATTTTTGTGTTAGCAGTATATTTACTCCTTTTTCTAACATAGGCTTATTTCAGTGTATTCCTTTGCCAAAAGCAAAGATAAACCATAGAACAAATCAGTAAATATCAACCAGCTTTGAATATGATCCCAAGTAGACAATAACGTTTTCTTTAGTCTGCTTTAGAGCTTCCAATTTGTAAAATAAATGAAGGGTTTACT